TCTGTACTCGCTAGCAGGTTCGCTAGGTGAGAGGTGTAGCGAAGGATTCACGAGGCGAAGTCCCAGCGAAGTGGTAGCGAACACTTCGAATAGCTCAGAAGTGTGATTCGCGAGCAGGTTCGCTAGGAGAACGTGTAACGAGTGTTCGCTAGGAGCTCGCGTAGCGATCAAGGTAGCGAACGTAGAAGGATTTTGTTTTATTTGAGCTGTGTTCATCTTATGTTAATGATTGCGATCTGTTTAATGTATAGAGATATTGCAAGGATGCTGGGTGTATGTTGAGTGTTATAGGGCTGCTTTGTCGATGTCTAATGTGATTAAGTCAATTGATTGATTGTGTGATATATATGTATATGCGATGTATGATGATGGATCAGTAGGATCGTGTGCACCTAGTGTGCTTGATGTTTGTGTATGCATAGCATGATGCATGATGGGATCAGTAGGATCATGTTGCTCCCTTGAGGAGGGTTGATGGCCAAGTGTTCATCGGCGATTGCGGAGTTGAATCGTTGCTCGGATGAAGTGTATGCGACTCACCCGTAATCGTGGTAGGGATAGATCGTTGCTCGGATGGAGTGTATGCGATCTATCCTGAGATTTGATTATATGGGCTCAGGAGGAGCGTGGTAGGGATAGATCATTGCTCGGATGGAGTGTATGCGATCTATCCTGAGTTTAAATCGGTACCGCATGCATGTGTTGAGTTGCATTTGTGCATTATTGTATGTTGTGATTGATGATTGGACAGTAGGTCGTGTATGATGATTTGTGGGGTGATGATGTATTTATTTACTGCCTTTATTTCATATAAATATTTACCGTTATATTTCGATCATGTTTTCTCACCCCTTTGCTGTTGTTGTGGTCTGTGCTTCTTCGGAAGTACACATAATCCAGGTGTTTAGCTAGCTTGTATTGTGGCGAGTCGAGTCGTAGGGATGCTCTGATACGTAGCGCGAGTTTTTTGGGAGTTATTTATCTGTTTGATGATTTGTTTATACTCTGTGTCGTATCATGTTTTGATGATGGATTATATTGATGATGTTTTGTATATTGTGGCAGATGGCCGAACATGATGTATGAAATGATGTACATATATGTATATATGTTATGACAAATTTCTTTTCCGCTACTTATTTTGAAAATATTTTGATAAAATGTTTTGTGGAAATTTCTGGTGAAAAGTAATATCCCACTTTTGGAAGAGAAACTCTGATATTTTAATTGATTTATTCGTATTTTATTTTAGTTGGGAAGTGGGGTGTTACACAATTCACTTCCATTTTGGCGTTATTTCTTCTTTGCGAGAGGTGACCCCTAACAATGTCCAATTTCAAATTAAAATTTTTTTTCTGCCATATTTGCGTGGGGTCACCCCACATTTTTTTTATTATATATATATATATATATATATATATATATATATATATATATATATATATATATATATATATATATATATATATATATATATATATATATATATATATATATATATATATATATATATATATATATATATATATATATATATATATATATATATATATATATATATATATATATATATATATATATATATATATATATATATATATATATATATATATATATATATATATATATATATATATATTTTATTTTGAGCATTGCAAGGGGTTTAACCCAAGCAACATTGTTTTTTAGTGAGGGGTTTTATCCTTGGAAAAATCCACTATCTATACAAGGTTTTTCTTGTAGCGTTTCTTCGTCATTCATTACCCGGTCTTCTTCATCAACCTCATGGGCATTCCAAAATAGTTTTCCCTAAGCCTTTGTTCCTACATTGTAGAATGATGGCTTTGTTGAGTTGATCTTTGGTTTGGCCTTGGTGGAGAAAAATATAAGAGATTTGATGGGATGTTGATATCATTGATAAAAGGTACGTTAAATGTCCCCTCATGATTATCAATGTTTCCCAAGCATGTCTTAAAACATGTTTCCACGTTTGATGATAATGATTCTCCATAGTATTATTCTGAGAGTTATTGAATAGTGTGCGATGAGATCTTAATCGTTGGTGGACCGAGCTAGGCTTTACCAAACCTGAGTTTGGCTTGCTAAAAAATTAAAAGTCTAAGTCTGACATGTAGCCTATAATAGACTTATTTTATGGTCTGGGTCTGACCTTTTTAAAGGTCTGATTAGCCTACTAGCCAACTTAAAAGCCTATTTCATTTGAACATTTGTAAATAAGCAATTCATCTAATATTAAATAGACTAACAAATAAAAATATCAATGAGCTAAATGTTTATTTTTATTGAATCATTCGACTTTACCTATTAGCGTAAGTTGTGATATTATTGTTTGAGAGAGCTTATGAAAATAAATTATGACAACAATTTATGGCATTGTTCATAAGGTTTTTTCAACTTATTTCCATAAGTTCTTTAATAGCTAAGCTTTATTTTTGTATTTTAATTTCATGTACAAAATACAATATAATATTATAAAGTTATTCATGTTTATTTAAATAGGTCGGCCTAAAAGGTTTTTTTTCATGGCCTGTGGCATAGCATTTTTAGTTAAATATGCTTATAAAAAAGCGTAAGCCTTTTCTATTTTAAAAAAAAGTCGGGTCTAACCTGGGCCTGTGTAGGCTAGGCCATAGGCCCCTGTTAGTTGGCCCGGTCTATTCTCACACCTAATTGTAACCCGACTTTGACCCATTTTTAAAGTTAAGCCCAAATACAGATTCTCTTCCCACCTGTTCACAGTTGTGATGAATTAATTTCTTGTGGAACTAGAGTCCCTCTCATTTATGCATGTACATATGTGTTATCTTCATAGCTTAAGAGCAACATCGTAGACCTAACATGCAAACTCATCGACGAAGTTTAGATTAAAGTCAACCCATAAAGTAACCTAAATATTGTTCCTTCAACAATCACCCTACCTAAGGAGAGAGGAATTTGAATTGGATGATGTACTCATCCACCGTATCTGATTGCGTCAAGTCGTTAAGATTCTTATAGGGATTATCACTCTTCCATACACCATACATGATTAAGTAAAGGCGTTAAGATCCTTATAGGGGTTATCACTCTTTCATCCAATGTACCTCTCGATTAGCATCTCCTTCAACTTTCTCCAAGTGAGATTGTCTTCCGTCTCTCTCAACTGATTAAACCAGTGTATGGTTGAACCCTTCATACTCAACATAGCAAACTTGACCTTCAAATCTTCCAAAGTTTCCTAAATCTCGAAATAGGTTTCAGCCTTGGTGATCCATCTAATGGGATTGTCTTCGTCAAATGCCAGTAAATCCACCTTTTTTGAAAGCCATTTTGTATTCATATGTGGTGTCCTTACTACAAGAAGACTTAACTTACTTTCTGCCACCCTTTATCACTCTTCAATTTCTCAAGCTCCGCCATCATGGATTGACAAAATTCTGCCAAGGACTCCATCGTTGTTTGCTTCAATGTTTCCTCCATTGTCACCATATTTGTTTCCACATCTTTCATTTTTTTGCGAGCTCCGCATCTTTCATTCTTTCACTTATCTTTGGTGGCATGGACCGATTTTTGAATCTGGTAGGTCAGACCAATGATAGGATCGTGAAGAGAATCAATGGAATGTATATAGTATTAATGATGAAAAATAAACAAAGCTTTATAAGAATGTAACAACCAGTATTACTGACTCCTAAGTCCTAAGTCAGATAGAGAATCCTTCCTAACAAACTCAACATTATTTTGTGTGTACCCTCGTTATCCCTTTAAATACTCTTACATAATATTCTATGAAGACACATCATAATCAACTCACATTCTTCAGTGGATCCGCCTTACTTTTCTTAAAATGAATCCGCCATAATTATTCTGTGGGTCCGTCTTACTTTTCTTAAAGTAAACCCGCCATATTGGAGGTTTGTTAGAAACAAACTTTGAAATTACAATAGGGTTCATATCACTACTGGTGATGGAGAACTGTACTGGTAATGGAAAATTGGACATTCTGCATTTCAAGGAGAACTGGATGAAGAACTTGAAAAGGAAAGCATGTTGAAAGATGAATTTAGATAAGTATTTATTTGTCTTTAGCCTTTCAATTGTATGCTCTTTTTGGATTTTAAATTTCTTAGCATTACATATGTTCATAGTGCGCCTTGTCCAAGAGCAAAGGAAACATTTACTGAAAAATTAGCAAGAAAAGCCAAGAACACGGTGAGTGCATTGCAACACTTGAATATAAAATTGTAGATTTTCCACATAAATTTAGACTTCAATTATAATAGTAAAGTCAAATCTTTATAAACTGCTGATACTGTTCTTTTGTCTTAGGATGCTACTTTCAATGTATGCTTCTGTCACAAATTGTGTGCCAATCTTGAATCATCAGTCTAAAATTGCAGCCTGTATCCTTTTATTGATTTCATCTCTCTTTCCTTTCATTTGTTTCTTCATCATGTATTTTGTGTACAATATTATCTGTTTTTCAAAAAGACAATAAAATACCTGCTTCTTAACCTTTTAATTGCAGATAATGTGGGAAAGGATTAAAATGTGGTTGAGAAATTTGAATATGACACCTCAAAGATGACATACATTGATGCATGTAATAATATATGGAAAAGAAGTTGATTTATACATGTGAAAAATGCCTCGGTTGATATTCAATGAACATAACCATACAGTTTCAACCGGTGAGAGACGCCGGGACCTTATTTAGTTTGCATAAACAGACTAAAAGAGAATTTGTTTAACATTCCAAACATAGGTCGGATTATAGCATATCATTTTCTGGGACAAAATTTCTAATGAATTGCAGCCAACATTCTACAATAAGAAAAATTAGTAATGGTGTTAAATAAGACCAAAATACTGAAAAACTGCAATTGATAAATAATGAAACTTAAGGAAACCGAATGGCCGCTGCCAAAAGAAGTTACAGGGGAGCACAACTCTAGTCAGAAAATAGTTATGTAGGATTTAATCATTAGGTAACAATCTTCTCATACTGAAGGTCTCTGACATGCAGAAAATAGTTGCCAACTTATAAAGGCCATCACCAGTGATGTGAAGAGCTCAAAACCTACAACTTTGGGAAGATGCCACCCCAATCCACGTCTCAAATAGCTGCACAAGACACAGTTTAGAAAACATTACAGTAAATGACATAAAACATACATGTTATGATTTTCAAAATAACCACTACCAAGCAACATGTCTAATAGACCAGTGCTTGTATTCAAAACAACAGGTCTTTTTATCATGATAGACTATTTATGCCATTTATGCAGGGATGGTAGAGGGTAAATGATACTCTCTACGTTTCTAATTATAAGCAAAAATGGGTCAAAGAAAGATGATGTATTTGACAGCAATAGTCTGAGTGGAAAGAGAGGTACGGGTTGGCGTTTTCAATTGAAGCTTTTATGCTTGGTTTAGATTCAAAATATTGATTTTAAAGAGAAAATACTCTGTTAAAATTAAAATGACAACAGCGCATTTTCATATCAACATCATAATAAGTAAGTGTAATAAGTCAGTTGTAAAAGACCTTGTGATAGATGGCATGGTAGCTACAATCACAGCACACAAGTATATAATAGGAATGAGGGTCTTGGGTTTATTCTTTCGGAGCCACATCAAAGATCCAAGTGCGGCGAGGGATATGCTCAAAACCTGTACAAAAACAAGTGCAAAAGCCTTTAAGATTATAGATCATAATACATATAAAACAAACCGCAAGCAAATTGTTATTTGGTCAGTGCTTTCACCTATACCTGAGAACAACATTGACAAACTTCTGTATCATTTCAATTAATGTTGAATTATAAAAAGATCCAAACTCTAGAAGAGTATTAGAGACTAAACTATTCAGTTTGACTTAAAGACTGACTGACTTGGCAGCCACAAAACAATATCCGAGAGAGAAAAAAGACTTTTAAGAACGTACCAAATTTGCATTAGCCTCTAGACCCTGTAAAATGTACTCCCAGGTAAATTCTAATCCTCTAGCACCCACCCAAAGAGGAGCCAACCTGTGCAGCACAGAATCAGCAAACGCCCAGCCTGCCAAAACAAAAGTTTCACCAACAAATGAAGATCAGAGAAGCAGATTCACACAAGAAACACAGGAGGCTGATCTAGGAAGAGAACATCACTTCCAAGATACGTAGATTAACAATTAATTTTCGTTTAAAATAAAATAGTGTCATTTACATACCTAGTCCAACTGCTTGAAATTTATGATTTTGAGAGATATTTCTGTGAGTCAACTGGGTTAAGGCAAAATAAAGCCCAGCAACATCAATAAAACCTATTAAGGCCTTCAAAATTTCCTGAAGAATAAAGCGATTTGTTATTATTCAAGATAGCAACGCATTATAAAAATTGGATTTCTATTAAGAATATATGAAAAACAACTCCTAACAGCAGATGAAAACCATTAAATTCCTCAAAAGATAAGCAAAAAACAGATGAAATGTCGTAAACCAACTATCCGAATGCTTAAGCTTTTAGAAAGGACACTAATAATTAATATACTTCATATCTAATATGGACACTTGCACAAGAGCCCTTTGGGCTTTATGCATGAATAATGCCACATGACACATACTTATGTTGAAAGTTTTTATCATAATAAATGGGAACGGAAAGGATCAAATGCTAGAGTCTAGACCACTTCGTTGCACAAGTTCTAATATGATAATATCATAAACAAAATATACCAAAAGCTTAAGCTTTTAAATGAAGACATATAAGCAATTTTATGTTAAACCTATGAGATAAAGAAAAGATGGCACTGATAGAGATACTGCAGACGCTTCAAGGGGTTTACTTCCTCCTATCTGTGGCCCCAATTCCTTCCTTGATAACTGGCAACATTCCCTCTCTCCCTATCCCTGCTTTAAAGTTTGAACTATTATCTCTAGCTGGAAATATATATCTTCCTCATCATTCCTCTAATCCCTGCTACCACATAGCTAGACAGTTACAAGAAAATTCCCCACAAGGCCACAAATGTTCTCTTGTATCTCACCACTTCAGCCCACTGCCTGACATATCATTTATCATCACAGAGGATCTAATCTAGGAGGGTATCTATCATTGCCATATACTCCCTTTAGATTCAATTATAAGCAAAAATACCAACTCGCGGTAATTATGCCCTGGTTGAGATACTGCAGACTCTTCTTCAAGGGGTATACTGTAGACTCTTACTCGATGATTGGCTACATTCCCTCTGCTGTCTGTCCCTATCTCTGCTTTAATCATTATATCTAGGAGGATATGTATACCCTCCTCACTCCTCTATCCCCTGCTGTCACATATCTATATAATTACAAGAAAATCCCCCACAAATATTCCCTTGAATTTCTCACCTCAACAGCCCACTGCCTATCATTTTATGATCATCACAGAGGATCTAATAATTGGAATGTGTCTATCATTTCCATATACCTCACAAGCTCAATATTAAAAGACATCTAGTATTGCAACATAGTCATTAAACTCCTGTATCTGCTGCATAGGAATGAAGCACCTTAGTTTGGTCAATTGATATACAAAATGGTCATGCTATTCAATACATATTATGCAAGAGTTAGGTCCTCAGTGTGGTGGAAAAATAGCCATGAAATGGTAATTTCTATTTGAGCCTACATAAACAAGAACCTCATTCCAGTGGTTAAAAAGTTTGATATGTGGTTCTTCTATCAATAATGGGCAAGAGTCCACAAGATGAATTATATCAATTTAACAATCCATATACCTTATAATTCCGGGGAAAACTATGAATTAAGCTATACTTAACGCAATTTAGAAAAAAATACATATTACAAACCTGATATGGATCAAAGCTATCACTCTCAGATACCTTGAGAAAAGTAGCTAGACAAATAAGCTGAAAAAAAAAAAAACTTAAACAGTTAACTAGGTTTAGAGATGTAACAAAAGAGTTGAAAACATTGAATGTAATTAGCAACCTTTACTAACGCTGTTGCGAGATAAACAACCGCAGCTTTAACAGAAGTGCCAAGTGTATCATACTCAGATCTGCATAACCAATCGAAAATTGAAAATTGAAAATTGAAAGATGAATTGTTGAAGCAATTGAAGAATAGATCTGGATTGTTGAGAATGAAAAACTTACAAGGGAGTGGCGGAGTAGTAGACGGCGTGGGGGCCGAAGGTGAGAATCGCGCAGTTAAAGAAGTGAAACACCGTCATCTGAATCTGAATCTTTCTGGTTTTCAAAATGTCACGGCGGCGACAAACACAATAAAACGCTCACTTCCACTTCACCTTCTCATTCCCAACTCAAATCACGCTTATACTATTTTTTTTTCTTCTTCTTAACTTTTACTCTATCTATTGCATTCTACTGAGTTTTTTTTTTATCTAGATTTTTTTTAGAGAATCAATTTTTTTTAAAAAAAGATTCAAAATAATCTAGGGTTAAATATATGTTACCCGTGATATTATAGAGAGTTTTAGTTTTACTCTTTTTAAGATTTTTTTTTTCTTCTTATTAAATCCAGATTTCATCATGTAAGACTCTTGTGTCACTATTTTGATGACTTTGTAAGTGATTCCTCCTAGTTGTCATTTGATGGTTGGCTGGCTGAACCATTAATGTCACGTTTTAGTAAAATAAACAATGAACTCAAAAATCAATTCATTTCCTATTTACCCATGTGAAAAATTAGGGCTAAGAATTAAAAGTATCTACCAAAATAACAACCTGCGAAAACGAACACACGGTCGGAGAAGATGAAGGCACGATGGAGAAGACGAGGACAAGACACATACGAAATGTCATGGGTTAGTTTGGTTTATTGTTGCTCTTACTAGTTTCGCAATGTTGTTTGTTTTAAAGTTGTTATTATCTTCGTTTTCAGAACATGCAAGTGTTTAATGTTGTCTTTCACCATGGAGGGGAGTTTGTAAAGTTGATTGACGGTGAAACGATATACAGGAGGGGTGTTTCAACCATAGTTTCTGGCAAGTCATTGATAAGTGGTCAATGGTTAACATTTGTAATTTGGTTAATGGGTGGGGTTACATAGAAGGAACGTACAGGACTTGGACCAAAATTCTTGACATAGATGAAAACTTTTTCCAGATTAGGAATAATGATGATGCTTATGATTTTGATGCATATGCTTGTGTCGCTCAAGTAGATGGGGAAAGTTTTGTGGAATATGATGCCAATGGTATACAAGTCACAATTAAGAGTCTTAGGTGTGTGAATGAAATGGTAAAGTTAAATGGAAGTGATGAGAAGGGAATTGAAGGGTCGAATGACAGTGAGGATGAAAGGACCACTGCACATGTAGATAGATTTGATGGAATAAATGTCTCTCTACCAATTAGAGAGGGTCCAATAGCAGCTGGATTGTTAACTGGTTCCAATAAGAAGAAATGGGAAGATGATAAATATGTTAGTGATTAGCTAAACAACTTTGATCCGAATGATTTTGAAGATGATAATGGGCTTAAGTTTGAGAAGTTTAGGAAAGACCAACTTAATAAGAATTTTAAGTTTAAGTGGGTATGAAATTCAATTCCCTAGATGACTTTAGAGAGGAAATCCGTGAGTGGTCATTTTTAAATGGTAGGGAAATTACTTTTGTGAAAAATGAAAGTTATAGGGTAAGGGTCGAATGTAGAGCTAAATGTGGTTTTTTTTAATGTTATGCTCTAAAGTGGGCCATAAGCACACTTATGCCATTAATATTATAAAAGACAACCACATATGTGCTAGGGTTTTAGATAATAGATATGCTTCATCAATGTCGGTGGCCAAGGCTGTTGTGAATAAAATGTAAACATCTCAGACAATTAGGATTTGTGATATTATTCAAGACATGAGACAGAATTACTCTGTGGGAGTTATTATGGCTAGGGCATGGAAGGCAAAGCTGATAGCAAAAAAGATAATTGAAGAAGATGCAGGCAAGCAATATGAAAATTTATGGAGATATGCTGTTAAGTTGAAAAGGGTAAATGTTGGGAATACTTTAAAGATCAACATTGACAGACCAATCCCATCAATTCAACCAAGGTTTGGATCTTTTTGCTTTTGTTTTGATGGATGTAAAAAAGGATTCATAAATGGATGCAGACCATTTGTTGGGGTTGATGGGGGTCAACTTTTAATAGTTGTGGGTAGGGACCCCAATGACCAATAATTCCCATTGGCCTTTGTTATTGTAGAAACTGAAACAAAAGATAGCTGGAGGTGGTTTCTATAGTTGTTAATGGAAGATGTTGGACAAGACAATATATATGTCTTTATATCATATCAACAAAAGATGTGTTAAAAGTTGTGTCATTTTGTCATTCAGTTTTCATATTTAAAATGTTAGATGTTTTAAAAGTTGTGTCATTTTCGTGATTGTTATAGGGTTTGGTAGTAGTATTTGAAGAAATGTTTGAAAGAATAGAGCATAGGTTGTGTCTGAGACATTTGTATGCAAACTTTAAGAAAAAGTTTAGAGGTGGATCATTAATAAGAGATCTCATGATGAGAGCAGCCAAGACAACTTACTATCAAGAATGGATGCAAAAAATGAATGAAATGAAGCAAGTAGATCTCAAGGTTTGGACATGGTTAATGGGAGTACCTCCAAAATGTTGGTGTAAGCATGCATTTAGTTTTTACCCTAAATGTGATGTACTGATGAAAAATACTGTTAAGTCTTTTAATGCCACAATTTTAGTGGCTAGGGATAAACCTATACTAACCATATGTGAATGGGTTAGAAAGTACTTAATGAATAGGTGCAGTAATTCTACCATGAAACTTGAAAAGTGGCCACACAAGGTTATGCTAATTCCTAGAAAGATATTAGATAATTGAGGTGGCTATGAGTGGGCATTGGTTGCCAACTTGGGCTATGGATGAAAATTTTCAAATTACTCATTCTTATAACAAACACGAATTCATAGTTGACATTGCCAAAAGGTCTTGTACATGTAATTTCTGGGAGTTAGTTGGTATTCCTTGTAGGCATGTTGTTGCAGCTTTAGGTTTTAGGCAACAAAATCCAAAAATGTTTGTTGATGAATGTTACTCTAGGGAAAAATATGTCATTTGTTATGGTTTTGCTGTGAGTCCCATTAATGGCCATGAAATATGGCCTGAAGTTAAAGGTGAAGAGTTTCTACCTTCTAAGTACAAAAAATGTCTTGGCAGACCAAGAAAATTGAGAATTAGATATTGTGGTGAGGAAGATGCTATAAGAAGATTGCCTAGTGTATCTCATAATTGTACAAAGTGTGATAAGTTTAAACATAATGTTCAATTATGTAAGAGCAAGAAACAAGATCCAAATGCCCTGAAAAGAAAGGTATTGTCGATTGTCTATTAAGTATTGTTTGTTCAAAATGTTATAGGTGTAAACAATGTTCTGATATTATATGTCATTTGAATTTTTGTAGAAAAAGGTCAAGTCTGATGCAGGTACAAGCGCAACCACTAAAGTGATGGTTAATCAACCAAATCAACCAACTGAGACAAGTCAACATGATACTTCTGCTCAACAAAACCAGCCAATTGAGGCAAGTCAACATGATGCAGTCACACCAGATACATGATTGTTTGAGGATATTTTTGATGAGACGATGTCAACCATGCCTATCATCAACACATCAAATCCAATTATGTAAACAACAACTGACATCAACTCAGCAAGTACCAAAAGGAAAGGCAAAGCTAAAGACAAGCAAGAAGGCAAACCAATGAAAAAGAGGTTAAGTGAGAGAACCAAACTAAAATGCTTTCAAAAACCAATCATAGGGCCTGGTTCTAACCCAAACCAACCAATGTATCTGTCAGAAGAAGAATGATGTCGTACCCCAAATTTTACCCTTAAATCATTAGGTTCTTTTCGCATTTCATGCTGTCTCGTATTTCGTTTTAACTAACCGCTAACCAATTTGCTCAGTCTGTTTGTTTTTGCAGGAAAATAATATTGTGTGCTAAGTCATGGAGTACAGACGCATCGTCAGTCTGTTGACGATTACAGAGTCAATTTATCCTTAGAGAATCCCCGGGAAATCATGGTTTCTTGTTCCCGATTTACACGACCAGTGGTTTGAGAACGGGTGGATTTCTATGACGGTATTGACGTCAGATTCTTCTTGATATAGTCTGTCCTTATTTGAGAACTGGGATTTAGTCGTCAGTTGGATTTTTGAGTGTCGTTTGATTTATAACTGTATTGTTGGGAGGTTATTAATATGAATGGATGTGGGTTTGAATCAATGCAAGAATTATTGCGAGGAGGTTATTTAAACAATTGCACGCACTCAGATTATAAAAGTCAGGTTTACTCGAGACACGACTTGGAATTTAAACACGGAATAAAATCCAGTTTACTAAGAAATTGGATTTATTTATTTATTCAAGGCCATATCCACCAATTCTTGTTACCGAGTACGAGTTAACTTTCGAAGGTTCAGTTGAATTCCGAATTTGCGTTTGACGTCAGTTAATTCTAAGTGTTTGCAAGTGGTTAAGTTTCGAATTTGGATTGTGAAATGTCAAGTTAATTCGAAAAGAGATACAAATGGATCTTAGTCAGAAAATAAGAATTAAATTTATTTATTTTTCAATTTTTGTACAATTCCTGATTACAACATTATTCAGGATTTTTACATTTTTTTGAAGATTACAAGTAAAGTCCTAAAGTTATAATTCTTCTGAGCTTCTGCTTCCCGATCTCCGATTCAAGCCTTCATCTTCGAATCTCCGAACTTGCAAAACCAGCCGACATCAAGGAAAATTGGTTAAGAGTCAGATAATCAAAAAGTTGGTTTTTTTTAGTTATTTCGATATCCTCAGCAAATTATCATCATCGGGTACGTCGGGAGGGCAACAAAATATTCCGCCACTAGCTCCCGACTTCACTTTACGATCTCCAGCAAAATTCTGGCAGACATCTGCTCAATGTTCCAGAGAGAGAGAAAAACAGCTTCAGAAAAAAGTTTTGGGTCCAAACAGCCCCTAATGCAAATTCGAAATTCATCATCCAAAGAGACCGGTTAAAAAAAACGGATGGATCCAACAACCAAACAGTCTGTATCAAAAATCCAGCAGATAAATCCAAATCCAAATCATATCAGATGAAAAAATCACAAAATCAAATCTCAGATTTTTCAATCAAAAAATAACGTAAATCACTTGAATTCAGGCCCAATAAATATCAAAAAAAGATTAAAAGAACAGTATGCTTTGAGTAATTGATGTGTTGTATTTTGATGATTATAACATGATGATTTTTGATCTAATATGAAGAATTGTGATGTATAATAATGATGTAATACTATGATGTTTTGATGAATATTCATGAATGATGATGCAACTTCGACGATACTATGATGATGATGATTATAAAGTTTTGCATCATGCATTCATAGAATGTTAGGACATCGGTCCAGTGACGATGTTAGGACTTCGGTTCAATGGTGGCTTCAATCCCATTGCGTGGATTTGGGTGTTTATGACGTGCTCCGGTTCTTGTGTAGAATCAATCCTATTGGTGGGGACCTTTGGAAAGTGATGGCCCAGTGTCCATCAAAATGATGAATTGGTACCACATGCATGAGTCTATGTTGTTGCATTCCATACTATGTGACATTGCATAGTAATTAAATAAATGTATTGCAGATGATGTTATAAATTGATGGATGTCTTAGTGATGATTGTGATTTGATAGTGTGATGATGTGATGAATAAATTAATGATGACATTCGTGATTAATATATCTTATATAATTACTTGTGATTACTCACTCTGCCTGTTTGAATGTTGCCTTCACATGGGTAACATGCAGGTGATCAGGATTAGCTCTCTTGGTGCGTGAAGATTAGCCTTGTAGTATGTTGATTACTTCCATTTATTAGAGGGTCTTGCTCTGATATGTAACATCGGGTCGAGACGTTTGAGTCAAACTTGTATGTTTTGATTTCTTGTCGATATCATGACACTATGAGTTTCTTGTTTTTTTTAAGACGTCTTGAGTTATGAACTATGTTATATTTTGATTTTTTCGCTGCGTAGTGTTGATTGAATTTATGATGACAGAACTCATGTTACGAAGCAGGATGTTATTATGAAGTTTTATGATGAAATGTGGCACCCTTGTTGTGATATACTATGATATAATTGTTTATAATTACTGTGAATGTTCTTTGGGATAGAAGGGTGTTACACATTTCATAGTTTTTTGGAGCATCCATTCCAATCACATCTGAGAAAACTAGCTTTTATTAAGATGATGTACCTCCATTGTAACCAGATCCTCCCAGAGGGAACTGTCTGATGATAATCCTGATGTCAAAACATCTGATTTTGACATTAATGTCATGAGCATAAGTCTGTCTGATACAATCTTGATCAACTCCCCCTCAGACATAACATCTTGTTAAACTTTTCCATTTCTTCGGAATAAGAGTTCCATGCTCTCATAGACTTGATTAACATATCAAGTTTGAGTAGAAAATCTTCATCTTATGTTAATGGTCCACAACCAATCTTAAGACCAGATGCCTTAAAGAGTATCATCTATAAGAACTCATCCTTAGAAGAATCAAAAATGCCAAAGCCTAATTCTTTAAGAAAGAGTAGTCAACAACTACAAGAGATCCAACTTTCTTTAAAGAGAGAAATCTTCATGATGTCAGAGATATTGTCCTCGACACTTATCCAGAATCTCCATGTTGAAATGGATCACATGCTCTCAACAGCCGCACTTCAGTTTACCTAGATCAGAAATAAACCGATCCAAGCAATATTCATCAAGATTAAGATGTCTTCATTTTCACTTCCATCAGCACCATATTCTAGATAAGTTTCTTGCCATGAAACTTCCTAGTCGACTTATGTACCTATGCAGATCCAACCAGAAGAAGGTTCCCAACACTTTATGTCAACATACAAAAGTTTGGTTCCCAGAGAATAAGCTACTCCCCTTCCTTGTCCTAGAGATTCACTCCTTGAATCAACAAGATTCTGCACAAACTCTGCTGATGGGATGTTTCAACATCTGGTTGAATATCAGGTCTTTATCTGATGAAATCTTCACTGATGACCTTGACTGCATCTAATTTTGAACACCACACACATGGATAATGTATTAAATACTTGTAGATTCCACAAATAGCAAATGATCTGAAATCCTTATTCAGAAGGCCATACATCCAAGAGATATCAACACTTTAGGAATACCAATCAAGTATTCTTTAGTATAGGTACCTTCCTTGCCAATCAGAATGTTGAGACATCAAGACTGAAACCTTTGACTCATATTGACTTAGCTGGCACAATCCTGTGCATCTTCCTTGTGAAGAACCACTTCAACTGATCTGAAGAAACACTACCTTGCACGACAGGGAAGGTGAAAATAAATCACCCCCAAATTTTTCAGATTTATGATCCTCAGGACCATCCTTGATCCAGAAGAGCAACCAGAAGACTCCATAATTCCATCTTTTCCAAAAACACCAAAAAAATCCTCATGAAAAGAGATGCCTTTATGAGTGGACTTGAGAGAATTCTCAAGTGTCTTTAGAAACTTTATCATGACAAGGGTATATACTAGTTTCATAAACCAAGAAATTGATAACCTAGACCTCTCCTCTTTTGACTTCAAAATACCTGAAGAAACCAACCTTCCAAGTACCAAGACATTAAAGGCAGACATCAACAAACAACTCTGTCCATTCCATTACTCCTTGCTGGAACGGCTAGGACTTCAATAGATGCTGAGACCTTCGTGAACAGAGTCTTAAATCTAGCTTTACCAAAGTCCTTTCATCAGAAACACATGTAGTGGAACACCAAAGAACACATCTTCACAGAAGCAAAAGACAACCAACCAGTGGTTTTCATCCTTGATCCATTACCAATAATTCTGGATATCTAATACCTTTGAAAACATCAGAATGAAGGGTCTGATCACACAAAGACGCACCTTATTTAAAGAACCAGAAAGTATCTCCCAAGATCTCATCCAGAAATAGACATGATACCTGCTCTAATACCAATTGAAATTCTAGCATAGCAGATTGCAGATGTCCTAACAACATGTCCCGACATTGTTCTCTGCATAACTTTAAAACAAGAGCAGAGTAATCAAGCTAACACTCTAAATATCAGCAACAGAATCACGACAGATGTTTCAACATCAGTTACAACATGTGAATCAATAAGAAAATATTGAAATATGAACTTGCATAATGATAAATAACACAAGATATGTTAACCCAGTTCGGTGCAATTCACCTACATCTGGGGGCTACCAAGCCAGGAAGAAAAATCCACTATCAGTAGTATAGTTTTATGTAAACAACCTTTGGTTTGCAGTAAACAACCTCTGGTTTACCTATCACTACCCAATGAAAACTTTATCATTAGAAATCTCATCTAATTGATAAAAGAAACCCATATCACCCCCTTTAATCACTTCGTGTGATATCTAATAGTTATATTCACAATAACTGTATCACTCTACTTGAAAGACCTCTCTTTCAATACAAAGTTCAACCAAGCAACCTTGATAAACAAACCTAATTGGATTTGCTTCAAAGCTTCG